AATTTTTTTTTTTTTTTTTTTTTTTCTTAAATGAAACATCATTTAAGTCTTGCTTCGTCCTTCATTCCAATGAAATGAAGAGATTTTTCCTGTATAAAATGTTACCTTTCTTTCTTGTTAACACTTCACCCGTGCGTTATCTTTTTAAGCTTGTTATATGTCTTCATTTGAACGTCGCGCGATTTTACGTTCATGCGTTTCGGCGAGCGATGAGTCTCTCTCGGTGAGAGATAGAAGGCGAAAAGCTGAACGCGAAGCGAGCAAAGAGAGTTCAGTACGTTTCCGTAGCTAAGTTGAGTTGGTTGTAAGAACGAATTAATAATAAAGACGACATTTGTATCAGCTAGCAAGAGTTTTCTTTTGCCATCCCAAATATTTGGTTTTTCGATCCGGATTCCACGTGCAAATAACGTTCAGATCTAGTATTAATCTTACTCAAACAACGAATGGCTCTGGTCAATTCCGAAAGTGTGATAACAGGGTCAAAGATATCAGAAGTTGACGATCTACGCAAGACACGAGGCTATAATACAAAGGCTAAATTAACGAGATTAAGAACACGAGTTGGAAGCAATAGAGGCCAGCAGTGAGACTGGCATTGAATTTGACAGAGAGCAAGCCAAAGCAAGATTAGAAAAGGTATATCGCGAGTTTGAAGCCATTCAGAGACAATTACTGAAAAAATCAGTTGAGATTTTCGCAGAAGATACAATGGAGGAGGAACACTTCGTCGAAAGGTATTTCGCGGTAAAAACTATATTAAAACGATTTATCAAGCAGATGTCTAAGGAAAACTGCATCGCAGAATACGGATGTGATCCGAAATTGTTACAACTACAAACCGATACAGCAGTTACGATGCGTTGTTCAGGGCGATGCTTCGGCCGCCATGACACAGTCGAAAGAAAACGAGGCATTAGTGACTACTTTTGCCCCGCAAATGGATATTCTAGATCGCGTGGCGAATGTCATAGGATCAGTTAACGTAGGCACCAGAGTCAAATTACCTACTATCAAATTTCCAGATTTCAAGCAAAATTGAAGGGTGGAAATGCTTTTTGGATAACTTTTATTCTATTATACATAACAAAGCGCATATGTCCATATCGAAAAGTTTCAGTATTCAGTTTCATTATTACTTTCTGGTGATGCCATGAAAATTATCGAGTCAATTGAGTTAACGGGACAAAATTATTACAACAGTATAGGAAATATTGCAGCAAAGGTATGACGAGTCGCTTAAGAAGAAACACATTCAATTTTTTCATTCATTATTCGCGATGCCGACTGTAATTACAGAATCCACAAGGGCACTTCGGGAGTTAATTGATTATACTTCCAGGCATATGTGAATATTAAAAGTTTTAAGATCACCTGCGAATACTCGATTTTAGGAAAAAAAATTCGCCTAGAATACATTCGTTTCGAATCTTAATTATATACAACGGAAAATTTCACGAAAACTTCCCAATTTCTTTAACAACGATTTTTTTCTTCTTATATACAGGATGTTTCAAAATTTGCGCCCGTGAAATACGAGACATGATACTTTATGCTAAAAGAAACCTTTTTCTTTTTGCAAAATTGTGTCTGATAAGTAGTTTTTGCAGGAGAGCAGGTTGAAATTAACAGATAAACGCTCCGATCTATGTGGCGCTCAGGGCCGGCGCGCGCTCCTCGTTCACTTGTACCTAATCCTTGGCTAGTATTCATAAATAATATTTTAAGATACTGATACGGCTTTGTTGTAATTAGTTTACGACTGCTTAAGTCTATACTTAAGGTCTTAAATTATAAGAATCAACTATGAATACTGGACCATGATCTTCCGTATTATTAATTATAATCAGAATTATTATTTAAATATTTAAGAGAATAAATATCTGAAAACTCCTGTGTTATTTTCATTATAAAATAAGGAATCAACTCTATAAAGTTTTAAAATATATATTTCGATTTTAATAAGCCAATTCTTTATTCTGCATTGACGTGTAAAGTAAACGAAATGACGAGGAAAGTGAAGACGAAAATCCGGAAGGGGAATCATGCTCATTACCCTCACGAGTAACGCGATCTATCGGTTGCCATTACTATGTATCCAACTACACCTTACACTGAGAAAAAAGGTTTTGTGATCATAATAAAAGTTTGGTTGAAAAACACTCAAAAAAGTCTTTTAATTATTATAACGAAATATTAATTATTACAAAGAAATATTGCAGAAGAAAAATTATTTTTTCTAAGAACAACTAATTTTTTCTTATTAATTAACAAAGGATGATTTAATTATTCTTACTAATTATTTTTCTACTGAAATATTTCTTTATAAAAATTACAATAATTTCTTAATTGTATTTCAACCAAACTTTTATCACAAAACTTTTTTCTTGAAATGTATGAAACGTATAAAATGATATTTTATATGCTTTTTCTAAATTTAGTTGTTCTTCCGATTTTCGCTCATGATCATTGGTATTTTTACAACCAATTGCAGCGCACATAGGCATATTAAATATGATTTTTTCGATGTAAAATATTATATTGTAATTAAACAATAACAAAACACAACCACATAACCACATTTAACATAATGATTGACGATTCTTGAATAAGTTCTCACTTTTGCCGAAAGGGCGCGCAACTAGTGAGGGTAATGGATACCATCTCTTTGTCCCTGACGGCTTCATCCCCGCAAGAATAAGCTGTATCCCTACTTTCCTATATCCGTGAAGACCGGTTCTCGTGAGAGGAAGCTGACTACCGAAAAAAGCCGGAAAATAACGACGTAATTCGACGCCGAAAAATAAAAGACAAGATTGCATGGTAAAACGACCTACTCCGATCCAGATCCTTTTCCAAAGCACTCCAAATCTCCGAATCCAGAGCCTATCGATAGCGAGTAGCGAGAAAAACGGAGTAGAGCATTCTTTGCCTCGACCAAGCGTTCTCGGTAGTCGCTCCCGTGTAGCAGCTTATCTTTCTACAGGCTTCGGCAAGAAAACAGGAGTGGAGTTCTCCACTTCTACCAAGTACCGAACGTTCTCGGTAGTCGCTCCCGTGTATTATTAGCACAGGAGAAGTTTAGCTACCGTACCCTACAACCTGCACGCCTGTGCATCCGCGTGAATTCGCGTTACACTATTTCACGCACTTGTATTCTGAATCGTATACGCGCGCCCGCCGTGATACCGCATTTCACGAATCAGAACCACTCGACTGCGCTTGATGAATTAGCGCCGCCTATAGCCACACCCGTTCGCGCGGACCGCGATTCAGCTGCGCCACGAACCTGTGTGCGTCACCTGCGTACCAGATTAGTACTTTTGTTAACACTGATTGACACACGTACATCACACACATACACCGCGATCTCATACACCCGACATATGTACAAACACACGCTTATAATCTATTACATACTTTGTTACTGTAGCTTATTTTAGGATATTAAATAAATTCTTTTCTATGGTTACGTTTACACCGTGCGTTTAGTCCGCGACCTATACGATAGGTGTCTTTATTTAATATACAGGCTAAACAAGGACATCTATTGTATAGGCCGCGGCCTAAATGCACGGTGTAAACGTAGCCTATATTGATATTGAACCTGATGTATTATATTTTGTTAATATTCGCCTCCCCCCCCTCTCTCTCTCTTTCTCTCTGTCAATTAATCTTCATTTCGCCATCTCAATCGACTTCACCTCATAATTCAACTGATGAAGCACCCGAGTAGGGGACACGAAGGCGCAGGCGCAACAGATGATAAAATCTTAGGATCCTATGAATTCTGTACCTGACTTGAGCAGGAACATGTTGGGCCTCTTCAGACCCTATAACTTTTATTTAAAACACTTTTCTCAAAAATGCGTTGTTCTGAAGATATTCTGTGTCCAAGTTAAAATGACCAAACATATTCAAGTCCAAGTCGGCTACAGAATTATAAGATTTGACTTATCGGTTGATAATGCCAATTCTTTTATATCACTTTTGCAATATAGCGTGTTTCCTCGTTTTATTTACTACGACTGCGCCACGTAATGCCATACAATTCTTGTGTATTCAGGTGTAAACAGGGATCGTATTAATAAATGAACTAGAACAGTTAAAAATCTGTATATCTATA